GCGGGTCTGGGAGCCGCTCACCGCCACCCGCCTGCAGGTCTGCACCCTCCAGCCCACTTCCACTGGCCGTTGAGGCTGCGAGGGTGCCGCCAGCCTCGCGGGGCCTCATTTTCCTCGGCTAGAGAAAGGGTCCCTTATGGGGACCGTCGTCCCTGCCTCAGCTTTCGGGGCAGCGGCGAGGCGTGCATGAACGTGCTCAGCTTAGGGCTTGGCCGGGTACCTGGAGTTTGTGGTTAAGAGGGGACTCTAGAATCAGCAAAGTTGAGTTGGAAACTTGACTTCTCTCAAAGGCCAGCAGCAAGTTACGTTTTAAACACGCTGGGCTTCGGTTGGCTCATTTGCAAAAGGGGGCGATGCTCGGTAAGCAAGGACAGAGGCAGCACTCTAGGCGAGACAGTGCTCTAAGCGAGGCCAAGGGCAGTCCACTCCCCTCCCCCCTTTTCAGAAAAATTAGATGTAAGAGAGGGCATAACAGTTTCAGCTTATAGTCTTTGCTCAAAAGAGGAATGACTGATCATTTCTTTTTTTTCCTTTTTCTGATATCCAGATACGCAAGAAAAATTCTCTGAAGGATTGTGTGGCAGTGGCTGGGCCCCTTGGGGTCACGCATTTCCTGATATTGAGCAAAACGGAGACTAATATCTACTTTGTGAGTGGATTCCTGCACCCATCTCCCCCATACCCTCCTTCTCCCCCAGCTCTCTTGATGAACCCATGTGCCTCTGAGCTGCCATGATTCTGGCTTCAAAGTAAACGCTCTGAAGAGATGGGGCAAAGGTTCCCACTCCTGCTCCCCACCTGGATGCCTCCACCCTCATTGATCCTTTCTTTGTAGAAACTGATGCGCCTCCCAGGAGGCCCCACCTTGACTTTCCGGGTCAACAAGGTAAGGCTCAGAGGTGGTAATGAGAACCATGTGGGGTAGGAGCTGGGGTGGGGAATGACGCCCACCATGCGTGGCTGGTGGTCACCCCCTCCTCACCCCGCCCTGCAGTACACACTGACACGTGACGTGGTCTCCTCGCTGCGCCGCCACCGCATGCATGAGCAGCAGTTCACCCATCCTCCCCTCCTGGTGCTCAACAGCTTCGGCCCCCTGGGCATGCACGTGAAGCTCATGGCTACTATGTTCCAGAACCTGTTCCCCTCCATCAACGTACACAAGGTGGGCAGGGCCTGCGTGGTGGCAGGTGTGGGTGGATGGGGCAGGTAGCAGGTACTGCACAGGCCCTGGGGTTGATTGCCAGTCCTCACCTCCCAGCACTGAGGCTGACAGTTCTGACTCCCAAGGTCAAGTCTCACTTGCATTGTATGTCATGGGACTCCCTTTGAACTGCCTTCCCATATGGCGGGTGGAAAACGCCAGTGGTGTTTTTTTTTGTTTTTTTTTTTTTAATATTTTCATTGATTTCAGACAGAAAGGGGGAGTGAGAGAGAATCATGGATCGGCTGCCTCCTGGACACCCCCTACTGGGGATCGAGCCTGCAACCCGGGCATGTGCCCTTGACCAGAATCGAGCCTGGGACCCTTCAGTCTGCAGGCCAATGGTGCATTCTTGAGTGCTTGTTTAAGCAGTGTACGTTGTGTTGTCATGCCCCACCTTAGACAGGGGAACTGAGGCTGACAAGTGAAGTTACTAGTCTGAGATTAGTTATAGGCAACAGTTCCTAAGCCCTGGCACCAGTGGGCCTCAGATTCTGCTTGTTAGAGATGATCATCAGGGAGTTGGAGTGGGTGGCCTTGGTGGGTGCTGGAACCAGGTTTCTAGCCTTGCAGTCCCTGCAGGGCTTGGCTTGGCCTCCAGTACGCAGTGAGGCCTAAAGGCAACTGACATGGTGCCGTGCCCCTTTCCAGGTTAACCTGAATACCATCAAGCGCTGCCTTCTCATCAACTATAACCCTGACACCCAGGATCTGGATTTCCGCCACTAGTGAGTACAGGGGCAGGGGTAGGAGGGCTGTGCTGCTCTGTGCGGCTGATGACAGTGCTGCTACTGAGACTCCATGATTGCTCAGTCTCAAAGTAAACGCCCTGACGCACCATGAAAATGGGAGTGGGTAAGACTGGCCCTTGACTCTGTGACCCCTAACTCCCGACCTCACTCCGGCCTCTGCAGTAGCATCAAAGTTGTCCCTGTGGGCGCAAGTCGTGGGATGAAGAAGCTTCTCCAAGAGAAGTTCCCCAACATGAGCCGCCTGCAGGACATCAGCGAGCTGTTGGCCACGTGAGGAAGGGGCAGAGTGGGAGGCTACCATGGTCTAGGGCCGTGGTCGGCAAACTGCGGCTCGCGAGCCACATGCGGCTCTTTGGCCCCTTGAGTGTGGCTCTTCCTAAGCCTTAGTAGTACCCTAATTAAGTTAATAACAATGTACCTACCTATATAGTTTAAGTTTAAAAAATTTGGCTCTCAAAAGAAATTTCAATTGTACTGTTGATAGTTGGCTCTGTTGACTAATGAGTTTGTCACTGGGCTAGGGGACCCCAGGAGCCTGGGGTTCCCTGCTGAGCCGTGTGTCCCTGGCACAGGGGTGCGGGACTGTCAGAGAGTGAGGCAGAGCCCGATGGCGAACACAACATCACTGAGCTACCCCAGGCCATCGCGGGGCGCGGCAACATGCGGGCCCAGCAAAGCGCTGTGAGGCTTACTGAGGTGAGGCCCAGTGGCTGAGGTGACTTCCTCCAGCAGCCCCAGCCCTGAAGAAGGACTGACTCTTCCTCCATGTCCCTCCAGATCGGACCTCGGATGACGCTGCAGCTTATCAAGATTCAGGAGGGTGTCGGGGAGGGGAACGTGCTCTTCCATAGTTTCGGTGAGGTCAGGGCTGGCGGGCACAGGGTCTGGGGTCTGAGGCCCCCCAAGGAGGGCTGTTAGGTGCAGTGGACACACCTGGATCTTGGTGAACTGTTTCTTTCTAAGTGCACAAGACAGAGGAGGAGCTGCAGGCCATACTGGCAGCCAAGGAGGAGAAGCTGCGGCTCAAGGCCCAGAGGCAGGACCAGCAGGCCCAGAATGTCCAGCGTAAGCAGGAGCAGCGAGAGGCCCACAGGTGTGTGGTCGCCGGGTGGGGCGGGTCCCTGGTGCAGGCTGCTACACTGACCACCACTCCTCTCCTCCAGGAAGAAGAGCCTGGCGGGCATGAAGCGGGCACGGGCAGAGGCTGATGGGGATAGCGATGCTGAGGACCCTGGGGCCCCCCCAGAGGCAGAGAGGGCTGGCCAGCAGGAGGAGGAGGATGAAGCCGAGTACTTCCGCCAAGCAGTGGGCGAGGAGCCTGACGAAGGTGCTTGGCAGGGATCAGTGCAGCCGGGCGCTGGAACCTGTCCCTGCCCTGGTGACCCTGACACCATATTTCTTCACAGACATGTTCCCAAAGGCCCAGCGGAGACGGTCCACCAGGCCTCCAAGCAAGAAGCAGCGGTTAAAGCAGCGGAGGCCAGACCGTGGCGGTGACCACAGGCCTCCAAAAGCCAAGGGCAGGCCCTGGGGGACCCAAGCCAAGCTGGGGCCTCGAGGGGCTGTTCAGAACTATGGCCGAGGCCGAGCACAGCCACCTAAGAGAGTGGCCTGAGGCTGAACCTGAGCGGTGGGTGAAATGCCCCAGATTGGGGCCCCAGAGATGCTGCCCTGGGCTCCTGCCTGGGTGTCCAGGTGTAGCCCTCAGTTTCCTTTCATAAAGGAGCTGGTTCCCCAACCTTCCTTCTAATAAACACTGATTTCCCATGAGTCAGAGGCTGCAGTTGGAATGGGCATCAGAGGCCGCTGGGAGTTGGGCCTGGAAGTGTAGAATGCAAGTGTGGAGCTCAGATTTGATCATGGTTGTTGGTCTGGTCTGGGTCCTGGGCTCCTTCCCAACCTCCCTCAGACTGAGGTTTCCTGCCTGCCTAGGCCAGGTCTAGAGCGCCATGAGGAAGGAAGTGTGCAGAAGGCTGGCTCGACAAGATCTGACTGTGTGGGCGGTGGGTGGACCTATGGAGGGAGTGGCCAACGGGCTGCTGTTCACTGGGGGTGGGACCAGGACACATTGTAGGCAGAAGTCCCAAAGGCAGGGCGAGGGCCATGGCGGACACAATCTCAGGTGAGGAGGGAGCACAGGGCCCTGGACCCTGTGGACCCCGGGCTTGGGGTGGAGGTGGGAGTGGGGATGGTGTAAGAAGCACGTCTGAAGCCGAGAACTAGAACAGGAAGGCAGAGTGAGAGGGTGGAAACAGTCTGGTGAGGGAGGTCTGTGCACACCCTCCCTTCAGAAGGGACTTGTTCCTGGGGATTTTACTTAAACAGTGATCGGAGATATAGACTGTTTTGAGAGAAAATTAGCAGGGAAGGGGACTACGGGGTGCAGTGGCAATGTTAGGGTGGTCAGGACCAGAGGAAGACGAGCTTTCAGGACGTCCGTGACTCAAAAAGAGCTGCCAGCACAAAGGCCCTGAGGCACATGTGCCTGAGAAACAACCAGGAAGCAGACGAAGTCACCGGGAGCAGGTGATGAAAGCCAGTGGGTGGGAGCCATACCTCCCTCAGGGCCTTGTGGGATGAGTTAAGCACTGGCTTTTCCTCCCAGGAAGGAGGGACCCCTAGAGTGGCCTCTGAGCAGAGGCACGTGGCCCGATAGGTGTGCACAGGCGCCCTCTGGAGGCTCGGAGAATCGATCAGGTGAGCGGAGCCGGGAGACCCGGGCCTAGGCTACTGCTGGTCCAGACAGGCGATGACATGGGCTGGACACAAGTGTGTTAGGGGTGACAGATACTGAAGATGGGTACTTGCTGGTGGATTGCAGTGAGGTCTGAGACTCTCCTGACTCCTGTTCTCCATCCCAGTCCTGATGGCTCCCAGCCATTATTTCCAGTTTACGTGGGTCCTTTCAGGGCAACAATTCACCCTGGTTCTTCAGGGTGCAGGACCCCAAGGGAGCTTCTGACTGTTCTAGGCCTGATTCCCTCCATAGAAAGGAGCTGGACTCATCAAAAGTCCTCTTAGAAAGGGGTCATGCAGGCCTGGTGCACACAGGTACTCAGGACTGATGCCACAGCACAACGCAGCTCTGAAAGCAGAGGCTGTGCTCAGCGAGGTGGGGGGCAGGGTTCACTCAGCCACACCCTCGCCCACAGGTGCCCCACCGTGCCCAGCCAACATCTCAGCAGCTGCTGATCGAATCCTCAGTGGCTTCCAGGAAGGCTTCCTGTGGCCCGTTCTGGTGACTGAGTTCCTGGTGGCTGTGGCTGGCAACAGCCTGGCCCTCTACCGCTTCAGCACACGGGAGCAGCGCCCATGGCACCCAGCTGTGATCTTCTCAGCCCAGCTGGCTGTCAGCGATCTGTTCTACGCCCTGACACTGCCCCCGCTGGCTGCCTACTTCTACCCACCCAAAAACTGGCGCTATGGGGAGGCCATGTGCCGCCTGGAGCGTTTCCTCTTCATCTGCAACACGCTGGGTAGCATCATCTTTATCACCTGCATCAGCCTCAACCGCTACCTGGGTGTCGTCCACCCCTTCTTCACCCGCAGTCACCTGCGGCCCAAGCATGCCTGGGCCATTAGTGCCGCGGGCTGGGTGCTGGCGGCCCTGCTGGCTGCACCCACACTCGGCTTCTCCCACCTGACGACACCACAGCAAGGAGGCCTCTGCACCGTGGCCAGGCCTGAGGCCTGCATCAAGTGCCTGGGGACTGCGAGTGACAACCAGCTCAAGGCCTACTCAGCCTATAGCCTGGCGCTGATGGCACTGGGCTGCGGCCTGCCGCTGCTGCTCACCCTGGCAGCCTATGGCGCCCTTGGGCGGGCCGTGCTACGCAGCCACGGCATGACGGCAGCCGAGAAAATGCATGTGGCAGTATTGGTGGCCAGTGGTGTGGTGCTCTATGCTGGATCCTATCTGCCCTACTTTGTCACACGTGTGATCAACGTGTCTGCCCGGCAGCGCTGGAGAGCCCGCTGCCCGTCCTTTGTGGACGAGACTCAGGCTGTGAAGGCATTGGACCTGGGGGCCTACGTGGGCCACCAGGTGACGCGGGGCCTCGTGCCCCTGGCCATCTGCATCCACCCGCTGCTCTACATGGCTGTAGCACCCAGCGTAGGCTGCTGCCACCAATGCTGCCTTGGCTGCAAGGAGGGCCGGGCCTCAGAGAACACTGAGCGCGCCAGCCAACCCCTGCCCCTCACTGCCACAGCCACCAAAACCTTGGGGCCCCCGCCCCCTGAGCTGAGCCCATGACCTGACCTATTTTGAGCCTCCTCCCCACAAGGCACTGGAACCCAGCAGCCGAACAGGTGAGAGCACAGCAGGGGTCAAACCACTTCCCCAAACAGAGGCCTGTCATGGGAGCAGCGAGCACTCAGACCAGACAGGCAAGAGTTCTGCCCCCAGCACTAACCATGCGCAGGGCTACCGAGCAAACCTACGCAGGGGAAAGAGGAGGGCTGCCCCCACCTGCCACAAGTGGGTGATATTCATGTATAAAACAGGACACGCATAGGGCAATTGGAGCCTTTTTATTGCCCTTGGAGTTCCCTGCTTTTGGAGGTCGTCTTCTGTTGCCAGGTGCCAAGCAGCAGCAGCAGTAACAGCTGGTTTAGTTGGTGGATGGCCTAGAGAGGAAGACGGGAGTGATGAGAAGGGAGAGTAAAGTGTGGGGGCTACAGGCCCCAAAGGGAGTCCCAACCGCCCCCCCACGCCCCGCACAAAACTGGGGCCTCAGTGGGGGCAGGGCAAGACATATGGAGCCCAACCAGCAGTGACCAGCCTGACCTGGGTGTCAGCGGCCCCTCCTCGAGATAAAGGACAATAAATGACTTGCACCTCACAACAGGCTTGGCAATTATTCAACTGGTGTGGGGCTGTGTCAGCTGTCACATGGTGATGGGGCAGGGGAGGGGTCTTACTTGGCCCACTCGACGTTGAGGATGAGGTGGTCGTAGCCAAAGCCGGACACTCCGGCAATGGTGCGGGCAGCGTCCTCACGGCGGTGGAAGCTGATGAAGGCAAAGCCCTGGGGAAGAGGAGAAAAAAGTTCAGGGCTCAGCCAGACGGATGACCCCTCCCCACTCATGGCCACCAACCCACCTTGGACTGGCCGGTGGTCTTGTCCTTCGCCAAGTAGATGCGTGAGATGGAGCCAAAGGGTCTAAAGAGCTCTTGCAGGTCTGTCTCACGGGTGTCCTCTGACAGGTTGGTGACGCGGATGGTGGCATTGTCATCGGCTGGGCATCAGGCAAGGAGAAGCAGCTGTGAGTGGCCGGGCCAGCGTGGGCCCCACCCACAGGATAATCACTGGGTGCTGGGAGGTGCCTGCCCACGGGCCAGCAGCAGGGTGCCCTCACTGCCTCACCTCTGCGGTTGGGCTGCATGGACTCCCCACGGCGGCTGGCCCCATCCCGCAGGCTCGGTGGCACGTACTTCCCTGTCTTGCTCTGGGCCGCCTGCACAGGCTCCAGCTCTGGAAACCAAAAGCACAGTCGGGTGAGGCCTCACCCTAGCACAGCAGAGGGACAGACCCACCCAGGTGCTGTCTGTCAAAGCCCCAGGCATCCGGTCGGTCCCTCAGAGACCTGGTGGCCATGACATAAAGGTCACATCCAGGAAACCAGCAGCACACAGAGCAAGAAGCCATAGGTGTTAATACGGTCTGAGGAGGCCACAGGGTTGAGAGCTAGAGGAATGCCCGCCCGGGCCAACACAGGGAAACACGAGCACATGGGGCAGGGACAGTCCCTGGGTCCCACACACATGGCAGTAAACAAGTATGCCGCACACACAAATCAGATGGAGACTTGTGCAAACTCAAACTGCATCAGCAAATCATGCTAAAGGATGTGGACTATGGACAGTCACATGTGAGACTACTCATAGGTGTGCGTGTGCACGCACAAACACACGCACAGGTGGCAGCCGTGTCCATGGTGGACAGACACGGCACACTCAAGTCAGGACCATCACAAAATCAGCAGAATCACAGGGGGCAAGTCTCACATACAGGGGTCCACCACCTCCCAATCATGCACAGTGCAGTTACACACACAGGATGCACACGGGTGATTCTCACAGCCCCCAAAAGGAAGCAACAGGTGACACCACCAGCAGTCACAGCAGCCACCTGGCTAGTCTCTCTCACACACACTAACAGGAACTGTGACCACAGCCTTCGCAGTGCTCACGCTGTAGTGTGGACGATGACCAGAGGTGAGGGGCACAGCCCACTCACACAAAGCAGGTGACAACCTAGGACGCACACACAGCACCTCCCCACCCCACTTCCTCCCTGACCTGCCAGCCACACCCCCAGGCCCCGTCACCTCCAGGCAGTTTCTCCTTCTCGCCGGTGGACAGGCCCAGCTGCTCAGCCAGCTCCTTCTGCATGGGCCCCAGCGTGTCCTTGTAGGGACAGCGGGTGGTCCAGTGGTCGCCCTTGCAGATCCGGCAGGACACGATCTTCTGGCCCTTGAGCTTGTTCATCGGGTCCTCCTCCTCCTGGCAGTTCAGATCCTGGCAGGGCAGACGAAGGCAGCTCAGAGGGGGAAGCCCCATCACCACCACCAACCTGGCGACTGCCACCCCAACCTGTTGCCCATTTACCTCCTTGCTGGTGATAAAAGTCATGGACACATCATCGCTGACCGTGGTGGTGGCCACATTGGGTCCTGGTGGGTCAAACTCCGAGTTCCCAAACTTCTTCCAGTTCTGGGCTCAGGGCAGAGTGGGGGACAGGTCAGGACAAGGGCAGAGCAGGGAGGCCCTCCCCTCTGGACCCCAGACCTACAGGAGCCCCTTTCAGGCTGTCTTGGCCTTAAATCTCATTCTCCACCCTCTCCAAATGCATGCCAGATCCTAGTTTCATGTCAGCTCCAGGAGACCAGGGCAGCTCTCAGCCTCATGTTTTATTTTTTTTAAATATATTTTTATTGATTTTTACAGAGAGGAAGGGAGAGAGATAGAGAGTTAGAAACATTGATGAGAGAGAAACATCGACCAGCTGCCTCCTGCACACCCCCTACTGGGGATGTGCCCGCAACCAAGGTACATGCCCTTGACCGGAATCGAACCTGGGACCTTTCAGTCCGAAGGCCGACGCTCTATCCACTGAGCCAAACTGGTTAGGGCTCAACCTCATGTTTTAAATGAGCAAACGAAGCTCAGGGGGAAATAGCTACACAGTCAACACTTCCTAGGGAGCAGGTGGTAGACCAGCTCCCAACAGGGAGTGATGCTCAGAGGGATGCAGGGGTCACCCAGACTCGAGGGGCCTTGGGCTAAACAACCTGAGCCTCAGCTTCCTCCCCTACAAGGTGGGGACCACAAATGCTCCCCACCTCCCTGTGTTGCTATGGGAATCAAAGGAGAGAACTCCTCCCACAAAGCATATGGCATGGGGTCTGGCACAAAGTGTGAAGGTAACTGTGCCAAATCTATTTATTGCTATAGCTTCTTCTGCTGCGACCACCTCAGGGGAGCTCTTGACTCTGTTCCTCCTGGTAGAGAAGCCAAGAAGAATAAGAAACAACCTCACCCACGCCTGGACTTTTGGGGACCCCAACAGAGTGCAAACACCCCTGGGCCTCAGTTCTCCAATAAAATAGGTAAACCAGTTACACTTTTCACTTCTAAAAACAAAGGCAGTGGGAAAAAGAATTCTTCCTTCCTCTGAGTCAGCCCTTAGGGACCCCCAAGACCAGGAAGGAGCAGGGTCTTACCTTCCTCCTTGCAACTGCCTTTGAGGCCTTCCGGGTCTCGATTCTGAAGGTGCGGACAATCTGCATGGGAGAGGAGAGGGGTGGGCTTCCTGTGCCTCAAGGCTCCTGGGCCCGGGGCACCTTTGTCACCAGCCCACCCAACACATACCACCCGCCCCTGGTCCGAGTGCCCCACCTCCTCACCCAGCCTCACCTTGAACTTCTTGCCATCTTCATCTATCTTGTACTCGGTTACTGTCTTGATGTTCCCATTGATGACCTCCTTGGGTGCCGGAAGTGGAGCTGGGACAGGGGAGGAGGCGAGAGGAACTGAGCCCTAGGCCAGTGATGGCTAACCTTTTGAGCTCGGCGTGTCAGCGTTTTGAAAAACCCTAACTTAACTCTAGTGCCGTGTCACATATAGAAATTTTTTTATATTTGCAACCATAGTAAAACAAAGACTTATATTTTTGATATTTATTTTATATATTTAAATGCCATTTAACAAAGAAAAATCAACCAAAAAAATGAGTTCGCGTGTCACCTCTGACACGCGTGTCATAGGTTCGCCATCACTGCCCTAGGCCATGGGGGTTAGGAGGGAAGGGGGTTAGGAGGGAAGGTGGTCAGGGAGAGCGGTGGTCCAGGGATGGAGCGGAGGTTGTCACTCACCTCCTGGCAGCAGCTCGGGCTCTGGGCTCGTGTCGCCAGTGGCCAAAGGGATCCCCTTGAGGAGCTCGCTGGTGACGCATTTGTCTGTGAGAGGCAGCGTGGGGAGAGGGATGAAGTGGAGGGGCAGGGGTGCCCAAGCTAAAAAGGGAGCTTTGGGATGATGCCCAAACCAGGAGCTGAAAAAGGCAGGACGGAGGCCAGAGGACTGGCCAGGAAGCGCCCTGGGACAGCCGTGCGGGGACCCGCGAGCTGCTGTAATCACCCGGAGCAATCGCCAGGACAGGGTACCCCTGGCATGAAGGCAGGGGCGGGCCACCGGGGCATCTGGGCGCTGGCACAAGGCAGGAGGCAGACTGTTACAACCTCCTCCGCGGAGCAGAGGAGCGGCTGAGGACTTGGGCGGTGGCATGGGAGGAAGAGGGGCTGGGGCCAGCGAACATCTGGACCTGGCGAGAGCCTGGCCATGTAAGGATGGCGCGGGGCAGAGCGGGCTGCGAAGGGAAACGCG